AGGGAGAATCTTGTCTGGAATCACAGAACAGCATCATGATAATGCTGGATGCTATTAAACTGCTGATGTTTTGGGCAACCACACTGTTAACTGAGCTGGCCACATCCTGTGCAGTGAGTGCTCGTCCCCAGCCTCTGCTCTGCGGTGTCTGGTGTCAGGCATTGCCTCCAGCCCCAGAGCACCTTGGCCATGCTCTGGCTTTGAACAGAAAGTTTGAGATTTCTGCTGGAACACCACCTGAGCTGCCTGTCACCTGCAGTTGGGGATGTACTGTTCAATTGCCCAGAGTAGGGAGGAGAATGCCTATGTGCCTTCTTTTTTTGAAGTCACATGAGGTGGGCCCAGGTGGCATCATTTAGTGCCCTCCAGCAGTTGAGAGGAGCCTAATGCTCTGTTTAAATTCTGAAACCCTCCTTAACACTAAAAAGAGGGTGTGGACACGAGCTCAGCTTGCTGAGCTAAAACACTGTAAGAATCCTTGGCAAGGGCTGAGGCACTTCATTTTGGTTGCTGGATCCCTATAAGCAAAACAAAGACCAGAGTAAATTAAGACCTGATTTTTAGGATATTTTGTTTGCTTAATTTCCCAGTCCCTTGTAGCTATGCTGGGGGAAAAGTAAAATGCTGTAACTTCATCCTCCTAAACTGATTCATCTCTATTTGTCTATCATCAGCTGTTTTCTTTTTAAATATTCATTCCATGTAGATTCAAGGCAGCTATAAAGCTTTTTGCAGTTTATTTTTTATTTAAATAGTGGGCCTAGAGTGATAAAATGTATGTTTTTAGAAAGTCGTGTATATATAATTTTAATCATTATCTTTTTCATTATCTTTTCTGTTCATGGTAGCATCTTTTCTGTAAGCATGGCAGGGTTGACCTACCATTGAACTTATGTTCTGAATCTAGTGTATTTGTTTTATACTATTACCCCAGGCAAAAATGGTTCTAATTTCAAGAGGGACTAATTAGAAAAATGCATCAATGGTTTTTTTCCTTGGAAATTGGTGCAAAGATGCCATCCAGTGTCTCTGCAGAGAACTGCAGTCCAGCTCTAAGAAAGGGAAAGGGCTGGTTTTGGATTTCAGACTGCAATTAAAAAAATATTGTTAGTCCTCAGTGGCTTTTTTTTTTTTTTAATTCCTGTTTTTTCTCTCCCCAAACCCTTTATTTTTTCTTGCAGGTTGTCTGGCGAAAGCTGGGTGATGCTGCGAGCTCCAAGCCCTCCATCAGGCAACATCTGTCAGGAAACCAGTTCAAGGGTCCCTTGTAGGAATACCGTCCTGGCGACTGGAAGTGATGGATTCTGTGAAGACTAAAGAGGCAGAGCTCAGTGTTTCTGGCTGCCTGTTCTTTGGGAGTTTGGGTTGAGTGTTTTCAGGGTTTCCTTTTTTCTTCTTTTTTTTTCAGCTTTTTTTTTGTAACAATAGTGTAAATATGGCAGCTAAAAGCCTGATTCCCAGGCTGTGGTGCTCTGGAGCTACTGTTCACCGGGTAACCATCCAGTAATGCCAGACTTGCATCATTTTTATTGTAGTTCAAACCTGCTTTGTTGTAATAGTCTGTTTGTAGAATTAACTAACTCAAGAGAATTTCTGAGAGGAACAAGAAGAACCCTTAACCTGCGGAGACATCACCGTTTGTATTGCTCCTGTCCACCCACTTGTCTGTGATTCATAGCCAGGTTAGTGGCTCCAGGCAGCCAAGAAAAATGCAATTCAAATTCACTGGTTTACTGCCTGCCAAGTTCATGAGCTGCTAACATTTTTTTGGAGGTCCTTATTTTGAAGAATGACATGCAACTGTTTTCACAAGGCTCTGTATAAAATACTGAGTGGCAAGCTAAAAACACTTGTACTGCCCTACATTGTACAGTGGTACTCATCACACAAGCATACATAAAGGCTTAAGTCTCCATATCAGGTGTTAATGAACAATTTTTCATTATCAAATGACACAAGATTTCTGCAGTCATAATGTGAATGAAGTCACTTAGCCACACAACAGTATTCCCTAAAAAATGGCAACACTTTTCTTGTAAAGCTTTCACTATGAAATAATTCAGCAGAAACTGTTATCCTGACAGTGCTTATGGCTTACACAGGATCTTCAAAAACAGCTCATCTTTCACAAAAGGAAGATTTGGGTGGGTTTTTTTAATGTTCTTTTTGAATCCCTCACCTATACAGGTTCCTGTGTAAGGTAACCAAACAACAACCTTGCAGAGCTGAATAAAACTCCATAAACACAGGCTGTCAGGTGAGACTGCTTCCTGCCATTCAAGCTTTATTTTTGTTAATGAACCAAAACAAGTGGGTTTTTGCTTCTTCAAATGGTTGTATATAAAATAATGGGACTTACATTTTGCTGTTGTGGAGTAGCTGCCTGTGTAGTTGTAAGGATTTGACTCTCCCTCCTTTTCCAAGTTGTCACAGCAGCTGTCCCTGTATTTCAGATGTTCTTTCCCAATAGTCCAAGGAAGCGGGGCTTCGTTATTAGAACTCATTGGTGTACAATAATTTTAAAGACAGGCATGTGAAAAGATCAAAGCCTCCTCTTCAAAAGTTGCATCGATTTTAGTGATTATTTGTAGGATGTAATGACCTCAAACAGCATTACTTTCTTTTTGTTCCCTACAAGAATCAGTCACAGCTACAGTTGTATTAGCTGGACAGGTTCTTCCTCTAAATTAATTTGTTCTACCAGTTGAGTTCTTGACTTGTGGTATTGTATTACATGAACACTGCAGGAATACCAAGGAACCCATGTGGCAATTTATGAAAGGTAATTGGTCCCGTGGTGTACAATAAACTATAGCTGCCTGGCTGATTTGCAGTGTCAGAGCTGAAACCTGTAACCAGCAAAAAAATAGAGAAGGAATACAACCAAAATACAAAATAACCACTAAGAGTAAGCACCACTTCATTATTCATTGCAGAAATAGAAATGTAACAGTTGAGTAGGTTATTTAAAAATAACCAAGAACCACCCCCAAAACACAAGTGCATACTCTCACTCACACACCCACCAGTAGATTATGTCCTACTACTGCTCAGTCAGTGAACAGTGAGCTGGATAGCTCTCTGTCTAATGGTATTTACATCCCATGGAGTCTGGGAAAATCCATTCTAGAGTCTGTCTCCTTTAAGCATCTTTAGAGGATTCTGGATTTCCTCCTCTCTGCTTTTTATTTTGACCTCCAGTTTCTAGTCACCACTGGTGATTACTTGTCTTCCTCCTGTACAATTTATACATTGAGATTGCTGTAACAGAAAAGGTGATGTAAAGCAGAACATCATTATTCCTTAATATCTAAGGTCAAAGTGAGGGTTACTTTATCTGCTTAGCCCATTTTAACTTTGGTGGCATCTGACTGCTGGATTAAGCAGAGAGTTAAAGTATATTTGGAACAAGGTTGATTTATGCCAGTGAATTTTAACTAAAGCAACAAACGTTGCCAGCACTTGGAGAGAGTTAACTGTGTTCGTGACACACTTGCTATTTAAGGGGTATATGAGGCTATTAGCAGGTCCTCTCAACAAGACCAGAGCTATACTCATCAGATTACTTGTCTCACAACTATGTAGTTCCCACTCAAATATTCCCTGCTCTCAAATCTCTCTCACAATCTATTCATTGACTTCAAGCAAAGCTTGTTTTGTTCCACCTGCAGATCTCACCTACAAGGGAAACAGTGCTGCAATTGAGGTCAATTAGCCCTGCAAATCATGAAGAGCCACTTTATAGGGTAGCCAGCAGTTCAGCTGAACAAACTTCATACTTGTAGAGTACTACCCTTTTGAAGATTTTATTTATAATCTTCAACGTAAGATGCACATCACTGATTTTGCAGAAGATGACAGTGCTGTACCTTGCAGTGTTACTGTTTAGGGGTTTTTAGGCTTGCCAACCTTCATACCTACTCAATTTGAGCTCAAATTTGTCTTCCTGGGGTAAAATGATGCTCAATGACTTTACAGGATGACTTGGGTGCTGAATTTTCAGCTGTCTAAATAGATATTTTATATACATATTTAAATTCACTTATCTATGTGCTCAGTATTCAGTGAAAACTACCTGAGGAGTTTTGTACATGAAGTTTAAGGGGAGCATCCCTTGAAATAGTGGCCATTAAATTCATCTGTTTGGGGCAATAGCCCAAGATAATTTATTCAAGAGTGAATCCCTGGGTTCTGCAATCCTCTGGCAAAGAAAGCATCCACTGTTTACAAATGGACTTTGCTTGCTTAAGAAAAGTAAAATCACATCCTTGACTTTTGTTGGAGTGACTGGAGTAAGCAGTGTTTCCTTAACAGTTCCTGAAATGCTGCAGTGTAACCAGCTTCAGTTGGCTCTTTGCACCTTGATAAGACTGCTGAGCACAACCTTGTTTGAGAATGGCACATTTTTATCCAAATATTAGATATTAAATGAAATCAGTGTTAAAGTGACCTTTTATCTTTCTAGAAACTGGGGGGGAAGAGTACTACTGATCTTTTTCAAAGTGCATGACTGTAAAGTGATAAAATTGTATATTTTTCATAATGTGGGGAAAGTCTATTTGTGCTGCTTTAGAAATCAGTTTAAAGTTTGATTTCTGTTAAACCTGTGATCTTACAGCCCTGCTATATTTTCTGTATATGATTTACAAAGAACTGGAAAAGTTAGCACCTGCTGTTGTGTACATAGCAAAATTCTTTAGACCTTAGCACGCATTTTTACCTATTATTGAACCACTCTGACTTTTTTGGGGAAGGAAAGTAATAGTACAGTTTTTTTTGATAATGTGTGTAAAACATTCTTTTGAAATATTTTAGTAAAAATGAAGTAAGAGATTGATTGTGATAGTGTATACTTCTAGCTGAATAAAATAAAATACATTCTTTTTAAATAAACTGATGAGTAAGATTTGGGACACCACTGTTGAAATACCCTGGAGTAAGTATCTTGGAGTAACCATAGTTATGACCTCTGAACTAATATGAAAAACCTGGAAATCCACTAAATTCAGAACCAATTTTATTTGGGTAGAGTGAACAAAGTAGTCCCATTTACAACTATGATGTACATCACAGTAGGCTGTTACATTCAGACTTTCACACTTAGAAAATATATATATTATGTACAGGAATTTGCAAATAGGTGTAAACATACAATATTTTAAGATACCAGTACATTCCAAACCAAAACTATCAGCAAGGCAAACACCTCAAAATTATTCCAGTCAGCTAGCATTCAGAATCTCTCTTAAATAAAGCAGCTTTTATGCTTGACATCGTGTTGTTTTACTTACTATTAAAAATGAAGTTTCTTATTATAGATCATATATCATAGTATCTGGCTATTTTGATACTTAAAAATAGGCACTGATTTCTAGAAGGAAATTTTCTTCTTACTGATATAATTGAGCCAATATGGCTGGTTTTGCTAGTACAAAGTAATCCAGTGCTGGAATAAGTCAAGACAATTTAAACTTAAGTCAAATGTATAAAGTTAGAATAGATACTGCAAAGCTGATTAAAATCTAGAAGCCTATATAACTCACCATAAACCATACTGCAAACAGATCAGCTAAATTTTCATTTAATCTCATTTCTTCATCTAAATTATACAGATTACCCTCCTCTTCATCTTTACAACATAGGTTTTGGCTATCTACTCCTGCCTAATCAACATAAAGGTATATTCGTGCAAATTACCTCATGCTATCTCATCCATGTAGCACGTCCAAGTCCTGCTACAGGTGGCATACCAGGTGGAGGAATTGGAGGTGGTACAGGTGGCTGTGCAGCTGGGGGAACAGTAGGAGGGGGGTAACTAGTTGGTGGCATTCCCAGCCCTGGAGGTGGATGAGGTGGTACTGCATGAGTTGGAGGCAGTCTTGGAGGTGGGAAATTAGGGTTGTATGTCGGCGGAGGAGGATATCCAGGAGTAGGAGGTGGAATATTGGGTGGGGGGAAAGAAGCAGGGGGTGGAGGTGGAACTGGTGGTGGAGGGTTTGGAGGGTAGACATGAGGATGATATGGTAGATGAGCTGGTGGTCCATAGGCTGGCGGTAAAGCTCCGTATGTTGGTGCTTCTGTTTTCATCATTGACTGGAGACTTTGATAACCCTCCCCTGACATGTAAGAATTTGTAGTAGACATTCCTGTAATATAACTGGTGGGGGGTGGGGGTGGGGGACGATGTGGCAGAGGGGGAGGTTGATGTACTGGGGCAGGATGAGTAGGAGGAGGAATCTGGACCTTTGGCACATCTACTGAATCCACAGGAGCAGACTGCTCTGGTTCTCCCATTGAAACTGCTGTTGTCAAAGGAGGCTTGCGCTCTGGAAAAGAAAATTATTTTTCTGAAGGGTAGCGGCAAGAACAGCTTCTGAATACTTCATATTTTTCTTTCAGTTAAATTAGCAAAAGAGAATTCAATTCTCTAAGTCTTTGAGTGCCATATGGTATCCAGTCAGACAGTCTCAGGTCACTAAAAACCAACTAAGCTGCCTATCAAAGCTTCAAGGTCAGTTTTTCCCATTCTAAAAGTTAAATTAATCTTTCTTATTACTATTTTTATAATTTAAATATTGTTGTACAATCAACAGAATTAACAGACAGTATGGATGGAATCACAAGTAGTGGCTTTAAAAAGTCACAGGACTCATGATACCAAAAATCTCTATTTCAGGCCTCCTTTCTACCTCTTTGGTAGTCCAGGAGGTGGCCTGGGATTATCCTCTGCACTTGACCTGCCTCACATATTGGGAAACATTATTTGAGAACACAGGTCAAAGTCTCAAGTCTTTAACACTCAGTTCTAAACCTGTTTACCAAAGAAAGAAAAACAAAACCAAAAGGTAAGTAAGAAGGACATGAAATCTGATCAGCTTTGCCCACTGATTAATTTCAGTGAACTCAATACCTGACACTCTGGAGAAGTTCATAAAAAGGTCAGCATTTTACCGAATTAAAATTAACCACTTCTGGAAAGAACATGCTTTAAGCAGTCTTCTCTTTAAATAAGAATCATTTGTTTTCCCCTCTTAATGCGGACATTATAAACTAAGTTAATACCACTAGGATGACTAACCTGATAGCAGCCTCTCTGTATGGTCAGAGAGATTATTAGAAGGACCAACAAAAAAGGGTCTGGGACATCTTGCTTGTATACGTGAGTATCTACAACATTGTTCAGTAAGAAAAGCTATTTACAAACACATCCAGGGCAGTCATTTCTAGTGGCACACTACACGGTCACTGTTAAACAGAATTTGACATAAATCCTCCTCCTTGTTCACTTGGTCAAGATGCATTCTTTGTTTTCACCTGACTTCCACAGAGCTGCCCTTTATTTTGGTAATGTTTCAGTGCTTGTGCAATTGCATCCTTGTATAAACAACAGGAAAATTTCAGGTAACAAGGAAATAAATCCATTACCTGCCTAAATAGGATTTTAACAGCAAAATTGCCCCCTAGGAAAGCCATGTAATAAATCACACATAGTGGGCATGCTGGCTGTGGTACTCATGATTTCAGTGACTTCAAGCTCCTAAATTGTAGCAGGCAACAATTTCCTAATTTGCTCATTTTCAGAACCATTCTGGATGCAAGATGTGTATTCAGGATGTAACAACTGAAGAAATAATGAGTATGGTATTTAGAAAAACTTCATTCTTAAGATTTTAACAAATGAGAAAAATTGTCCTACTAAATTTCAGGGCACTGCTTTTCTCTCTCCTAGTTCCCTTTAGAAGCTATTATCTTACAGTTACATTATGGACCATGGGCTGTGAAATATTTATGTCATATTTAAGGGTCACTGGAAGACAGCTAATTCATCGAGGCACTGGAAGCACATTTTTACAAGAGTACTGTTTATTTTGCAAACATACAGCATGTGTGCAGTATTAGTGTTCCCTTGCAGAAGAAAAATCCTCTTTTAAGGTACAACAAAAAAGTATCCCCTTGTTTTTTTGTTTTTTTTTTTTTTTCTTTTTTAAAAAAATTATTGTTTGGAAGTTGCACACCTGCAGAATTTCTGTATGACAGATAAAACATCAAAAACTTCTATAGGACAGCTGAAAGCTGTCTAGTAATCCACTATGGCATCTACCATCCTTTTGAAATCAAGAGTCCCTTTTAGCCTTTATCCACCTAGTATAGTCTTGTTTCCATTCTAAGTTTTTTATTTCTGTCTGGAAAAGCCTATGCTACTATGATGAAATTCCCTCTAGAGCTTATCAACCTTGTATTTTTACTTGCCAAGCAGATTAATCAAGGCAACAAACCCCTGCCCCCACACCATTGCCTATTACCACCTGAATGAAAAGCAAGGAAGGTAACAAGAATAAATGTGTTTAAGAAAATAAAACCTTACCTGGAGGTGGATGTGCAGGAGGTATTGGTGGATGTGAAGTTTCAATTTTAGGAATTTTAGATGGTGGCGGTGGTTCTAAAAAACATTTGTCAGTTTGTGATTGGTTATTTCTCTGCAATATTTTCCAAATTCAAACTCTGCTCTCATGATAATGATTATCATATCACATTACACTATGCAAAAGGGCAGTGGAAATCCTGTTTACTAGGTATGTTTAATAAAGAAAACAAAAATCAACACCTTTGTATAAATAAAGTGGCATGAAGTATCAGACACAAGTCTTCCAAAAGAATGTATGCCTACAAGCTCAAGTGACTTTGTAACTGGAGACAAACTCCCAATGACAGTATGTAAGTGAAGATGAGCAAGTGTATGCTTTCCAGCCCAAAACTTTAACTTGTAAGTAGTTGGAACAGCTCTCAGAAGTTGACCTTTGCTCTGCTAAGGTAATGTGTGTCGTAAACCAAACAAAATAGCCATTGGACAGGAGAGAGGAGGGATAAGAGACAGCTGTCTGGAATCTATCTGCAGAGCTACAGGGGAATAACTGCCAGGCTTCCTTAAGAAGTGCATCCTAGCTATCCTGCATGACTTTGTTCTAAACCAGCAAAGTGAAGAAAAAACCCCAAATAAAATAACTAGGTATGATCATTGCAGTGAGTATACACTTCTATTTCTTTTACTACACTATCTATTGACACAAAATGCCTTTTAGTGGCAGCCATGCCAACAACCAACTACAAACACCACTGATTACCAACCACTTACTGTTAGTGCAGGTATTTAATGGCATGGTACCTTCAGTCACTTCAAGACCTCACAGCTTGCTGAGGAACTACTCCCAAATGATGCATGCAGTTATACATTAAGAGTTGACTAGTTTATCAAGACTTCTACTAAATTGACTCTATTAAGGAACTCTTTGGGCACAGCTATACTCAATTTATTTCAAGTTTTGTAGTTAGAACATTTATAAAACAGTTATTGTATATATTTAAGGTACATTATCAGGATCAAAATAGTTTAGAACTGCCAAGCCTATAAGCAGACAAACTAAGTGCATGTCAGCAAATTACTTTGGTTTCAACAGTAAAATGGAAGCAAGATGAATAGAATATTAATATTTACCTGCTGCTTTTGTTTCTTCTTTTGGAGATACAGCCTGTTTGAAAAAAAAGAAAAAAAAAAGATAAGAATAAGACCATTGCAGTCAGTCTTCTCCCAGGTAACAAGTGATACGACAAGAAGAACTGGCCTCAAGTTGTGCCAAGAGAGGTTTAGATTTGATATGAGGAAAAATTTCTTTGTGGAAAGGCTGGAACAGGCTACCCACAGAAGTGGTTCAATTATCATCCTTGTAGGTATTCAAAAGATGTGTAGATGTGGCACTTGGGCACATGGTTTAGTGGTAGACTTGACAGCGCAGCATTAATGATTGGAGTTGATGATCTTTAAGACCATTCCAACCTAATGCTTCTACAGTTTCTTACAACAAATGCAAGATGAACAAAGTCAAACCACACTGGGAAAGACCAGTTTAACTAGCAGAATGAAAAGCCTGGGAAAATAGCAGGTATTTTATATGCAGCATTTCCTGCTGTTCCCACTGCTAAGTATTACATCTCATTTAATATATTTATCATCCACTGCACATACATCATGGTCTGGTTCACTGCTCATTGAGCTGAAAACAAGAGGCTTGGCCTCTGTTCCCAATTCTGCCTTGACCTGTCACTCTACCTTTGCCAAAATCACTTCAGGCTCTTATGCTTTATTTACCAGGACAGGAGGGCAGTGGAAGTGTTGCACAGTGTAAAACATTTCAGAAGCCTTCAGATGGAAAGCATTGTATAAAATCCAACTGGTATGCCAGGAAAATAATGTATGCTCACTGAACAAAACCCACAAACCCTCACATCATCCTTCCAATCACAAGTTTTTGGCTGGGATTTTATTGTTTCATTGGTTGTTCTTTCATTGTACTTTGATGAAACAACCATGGATAAAGGAATAAAAAAATCTTCTCAGATTACACAGTCCCACTGAGATGACTACTTGATGATTTCTGAGAAAATAGAGAACTTAACTGAAATTTTAAGTACAACTGTATTTAGAATGAATGATGAAGGTCAGAGGGGTACAGGACATAGCTTCTCTGTCTTTTCAATGAAAATGGTTTTTTAAGGGACTGTTTATCTCTAGTAGCTTTACCTGTATAAATTGTTCTGTTTCCATCATTTCACTTTCCACAGCAGGAATGAACACACACTTCAATCCAACTGGAACAGTATTTTTTCCTTATTTCTGATGGGTATTCTCAAATTTTTTGATAATTTTTGCCTGCTTCAGGCAACCTTATTATTATATTCCTTTGATAATAATTTCAATTTTCCAGCTGCTTTCCTGCTTTTTAAGGACACTCTTTATCTTAGCATTTCAAACACACACATTGTTTTCTTAGTGACTCATGGACTCATCTGCTGCCTTCATTTTACTTGGATAGTCTTTTCTTGATTTTCTAGCACTAAATTCCATGCCTTAAAACTGCATCAGTTCTCCTTGCACTTTCAAATAGAAGCAAATCACTATTTGTTGGAACTTTTCCAAAAATCACTCATTTTGTGAAATCAGTTGATCACTTCAGGTGACAAGCAGTTCAATTACTGTGCAATTGTTAATATGGAGCAATATTCAAAAAACAATATCAAGGTACACCATTACAGTAGAACAAGAAACTGGAGAAAAATAACTCATGACAGAAAAAACAAACATCAATTTAAACCGCATTTATCCTAAAGAAAAAAAAAATAATCAAGCAGTCACAATTCTCTAACAACAGCAACTGCTAAAATAGAGATGAGCATTTACTTAAGTTATTCTACTGCACTGTAGTTTGTACTGCCCCAGCCAAAACACCTGAGGGTTATAACAAACAATAATAAATTATCAACTGTCAGGCTGGTGAATATTTAATACCTTCAGCTAAATATATATAATAGAACTGTTCCTTTACTGCTGTTTCTATGAGCAATAAAATTGTCCCCCCAACAATTTGTAGTTTAATCCAAATAAAAATACTATTTACATCTAATGATTCACCAGTATATTTTTAGTGAAATCAACTGAAAATTCAACCACTCTTCACCACTAGAGATGTAGAGGATGCGCAGATGCTTTAGACATCTGATATGGGTCTGTAAGTCATGGGCCAATGCCTCAGATGCTTGAAAGCATCTTGGCTCAGTAGAAGGTTATGGGAGTTATAAGAGTTCCTGTAAATTGAAAATCTGGCCTCCAGGAACAAAGTGTATTTCTGTTCTGCACAAACCAAAGGAGAAGTCATGCAAAGCCCTATTTATAGAAGCAGGCAAAGATTTTAAGTAAGGTTTCTAGTACATCTAACTCAAGAACATTCTAGAAGCACCAAATAAACCTTTCAAACACCACATATCTTGTTTTCCCAGACTGCTTTCTGGATAAAAAACAATTTTGGATCACTACATTTAATTTTCTCAAATTCATACTGCTTGTGCTGTATTCGTACAAAACTCCTTTGAGTTTTGAAACACTCTTTGTTTTTTATTTGTTGCAAAACACCCTTTGCTTTTTATTTGATGTGGCTGCTTACTACCTACTATTTTTTCCTTGATTATTAGGTGATGGACCTAAAACTGATTTCAGGAAAATATAAGTTTCACTTATCTACTATGGCTTGACCAGAGGCAACTGTTCAAGAACAACAGATACTATCCAAGCAAAAGCATCACTTTTTTCCATTAGATACCTAATTAACATATGGGATGGAGCAAAATCAGTAGTACTGTCATGGCAGATCCTTTACAAGAATGAACAAGCATTTGTAACAACGTAGATGGCACACATACGAAAAACCAAAATTGTTATTAACAGTTTCTGATGTGCCAAACTGTCCCAGGCATTTTTGTTGAAGAAAAATTGTAAGAGATCCTCCTACAGGTCTGACAACTCAAGCAGAATTTGTGCTGATGGCATAAACAAAATGAAGTAAAAAGTAGAAGAAATACATTAATACCTATACAGAACTCTCACACTTTTCAAGCTAATTAATAATATTATCACTTTTATCCTGAACAATGCTAAAGTCCAGTGCAACAGCTAAAAATTTCAAAGCAGGTCTTTTCCACTAGTAAGCACTATCCTGCACTTACAAGACCAAGGTTTTACAGAGTTACATTTTTGTCTTTTTTAGGAATCTGCCATCAGAAGGATGCTGCACTCTTCCAATTCCATTTCATTCCAGTATTTGCTGCTTCTAGTTTTTGATTTGTTTTTTTTTTTTTAGTTTGGTTTTATCTTTGGTTTTTTTCCTGTTGTCTAGTTTGCGCATGCATTTAATTACAAGTTGGAACAAAAGTTAGAATAAAATTTACATCCTAAATGGACTGTTTCCAAAGACTGTATTTCTGAAAACACTCCTCTTGCTACGTACACATGAAAGAAGACTTGAGTAACATTTTTTTTTAACTTACAAGTGAAAAAAATAACAGAAGTATATATTAAAATTTGAAAGTTTCATTTGAACTTGATGGCTGTTGAGTGATCAAAGTACTTGTGACACCATCCAACTGCTAATGTAGCTTCTTATTTTCAATTATGACGTGATATTATGGACAAAGTGAGGCTATAAAGTATGATGATATATAGGCTGCTACTGTTAAAGTTATTTTAAAACACTTTTTTTCCAGTAATTTTGACATAACCTTAGAAGTCACTATTCTTTTAATATTAGTAATCAAAGAGACAAATGATGTCTTGATCAGCATTGTACACATCTCTACATTCAGGTGCAGCACAAGAAGCCCTCCCCAAATTAAACCTGCTTAACAGAGAAAACAATGAAGTTAGTTAGATAGCCCAGAACAACAAACACTGAGAACCTGAACAGCTCATGCTGACTGCAAAGCCTCTCCATGGCTTTTGGCTCATGTGGAATGAGGATGTCATATGTCAGAACTGTAAAGGCTGTCCGGCATCAACAAGGTTGCCACATAACCAAGGAAAATCAACTACATAAAATTAACACAAGGCTCATTCTTAAAGCAAACACAAATCTGCTGCACATTGTGGCCTTTAAATCAAATGGGCAGCCTGAAAATAAATTACAAGGTGAAGTTCAACTTACTGCTGGTCTTTTAATTTGTCTAGGAGGACTTGACTGGGGAGAAGGCTTTTTAGATTGCTGTGCTTGTGTTTGCTGCTGCTGCTGCTGCTGTTGCTGCACTGACTGCTGAGACTCTTTTTGCTGCTGTGTCTGGGATTGCTCTGAACTCTGGGATTGCTGGGACTGCTGTACTGTAGGTGCCTGGGGTGTAGACTGAAGAGATGGTGGCTGCTGCAACTGATGAGGAGTATGATGAGGCATTTGCTGTTTTCCCTGTGAGTATAGATCCAGGATCTGATGACAGATATCTTAATAATAAAGAAAGAAAATTCCAAAGTATTACAACCTTATAATGTACAAGCATGTATTTAACACAATTATCAACTCTGATTTTTACTGGACATCAACTTTGGAAAAATTCATTGCAAATATTACTCATCATAGTAATGACTGAAATAACTTCTTAAAAGCAGATTAATTTTCAACTTATTTCTGAGTTTCTTCTACCTATCCTGAGCAATATTTACATGTATATGCACACCTTTCAGAAGAACAGTGTCTTGGTAATAACACACTATATGCCATTACTATGTGCCTGGAGAGCCAGGTAACCACACTAACAGGACAGAAAGCAAGTGGAAGATTTTATGTTAAAACATACATGTCTTGTTAGGCCAATCAAAAAGGTTTAGGAAACTAAGCAAAGGAGTAGTATTAAATTCTTCCAACACGTTAGGAGCTAAAGGTAAGTTCGCTCATAATCTCTTCATCATTCATGGTACATCACAAAAAACCTTCTATTGTAGCATAATTTGGTCAAAGAGATCAATTATCTAAGGGAAATGTGCTGGAAATTAGGCTCCATTAGTTCCAGTGTTTGCAGAAACACTTATTTAAAATGGGGAGTAGATAATCATTTAAAAAATAGAAAACACACCATGACAATTCAGGCTAATTAGATGAGCTATAAACTAAACAAACTGTAAAGCAAACATTGAACAAAAGACTAATCACGATGATTAAATATGCTTCTAAGCTAAGCTAGTTCAATTTAAAACTTGATTAAGGCATAGCACATATGAACTACGTTACATACTTGACACAAGATTATTTTGACTGAAACCCAGATAAGAAGCTATTTGCATTTATTTATGACCTAGGCCACACAGTTGCAAAAAATGTTGTGGGAAATGGTTTTCGTACCTTCCAAAACATCAACAGGAACATCTTGGACAAACTGCTCCCACCATCGTCTGTACATTGGTTTTGATGTCCATTCCTGTATTTCAAACTTACACAAACGGCCTGCTAAGTACATGACTGCAACAGCTATGATCTCGGGCTCCCACTGCAGGGACAGTGTAGTGCAGAGACTGCAACAGAAAACAAACTAAGCAAAACACAACCCTGGAGATTAAAATGCACTTGGACAATCAGGTAATGTATAATTAATGGGGTATAAAATCCCACCACAATTCTAACTTGGGCAATTTTAATTGAGAGCCTTGTTAAACAAAAGAGTTTACAAAATGTAACTATTTCTGGACTACCACACTGTCATGAAATCGGGTCCCAAATCAGATTTTGGAGCTCTCAAAATGTTTGTCAATAAAATGTAAACAAATACTATAAAACCCCCACAACCCCACAGAAGAGCCAACATGAACTTGTAAAGCAACACGAGCTTGTCAAGCACAACACAAGTTTTAGATTAACATATAAAAGGTTATCTCTTGAATAGCCTTTGATAAAGCTAATCCTAAAATAACTGATATTATTGGTATTATTGATATTAACTAAATTTCTGTCATAAGAAATTACTATTTCCTGATATAAATTGTAGATATTGAAGTATTTTTTTCGTTTTTTTCTCCATACATTATGTAGCATATTATCTGATTATAGAATTTTAAATCCACCCAGCCAGTTGAATTTCAATGAATTCACTGTGACTGTGTAAGAACAGAGCCCTTTATTCAAAAGGCCTGTAATGCAAAGCACAGAATTATTTTTCCAGGATCCTATCAACAATGTAAACTTCTAATATGGTGCTTATTAAGTAAGCACAATACAGCCTCTTCAGAACAGAGATAATTATTAAGCATCATTTGAAACAACCCCTCCAGCTTCATACAAGTGTTTTCCTGAAGTGTGTTTTAATTGTTAGGTTTTTTAAATATTAAACACTAATTCCAAGTACAATGGTGTCCAAATTTTGATGGATAAATTACAGTAGTTTGACAGGTTTAACAGTGACAATTATGCCATAATTTTGTTCTACCTGTAAGACCATAATCTGCAAGACTGACAGCAGCTGAAGTAAACAACTCGAGAGCCACATTAATTTTGGTCAAATTAATTTGGAGAGTTTACAAAATCTAAACCCACACAGGGCTAAATCAAATCAGGCATATGATTAAAAAGACACCGCTTTTTTAAGATGTTCTACTGCTGTAGGCATGACTGAAAGCTATGTATTCACAACTTCTGGACAATCAGACACAATTTCTAAAGAGTTTGCTTATGGAAACAAAAAGTAATATTGAAGTCCTTAATAAATTAGCTTGCCCGGCTCTGTAGAATCCTCCTGAATAAGACTATAGTGTGTCAAGTTGTTTTGTTTTTTTTTAATACCACATGAGAAATGTTTTTACACATGCATGTCATTCTTACATGTTCATTATTCAAGAAATTCTAAATCCAGTGCTAAGAACTCTATTCCTCAGTGAATTTAATGACTACTTCACTACACCAAAATATCACATTAGAAATATATTGATGGAATTGAGAAGTGACTTATTTTTTTCAGACTGTAGCATATATCACAGATTTGGCAAGAAGCTGATGTATATCCTGGAGATTTAGAATTTGGTTTGGCCTTTTCAAACAGTAAGTTTCTTTTTAATGCAGCACTAAATTAGTGCCACCACATTGCAGAGGTCTTACTGGTCTACTTCCTACTCATTCCAGATTCTGTGTTCAATGGAATTATCATGGTAATTATGGAAAGAAAAACTGAGGAACGTGACCAAGAAAACACGTAACAAGCAGAAAAAAAAAAAAAATATTTGTCACAAAAATATCCATTACCGTAACAATGTAAGCAGCAGTAACTATTTCACTTTCAGAATGTTTCCTAGGTATATCTTACCTGTCATTGACAAATGTCCATGCCATTTGAACCAGTTTTTGAATTTTATTTTTGTCTCCTGAAAAACAATCAGAAAAAAATTAGGACATAAAATTAGGAAGGACAAACAGCTAGAAGTAGAATATCCTTGCATTGTTAATACATTAAGTTCTGGAAATCAGTAACAGGCATTACTTGTTCACCCTGCAATATTTTACCTTTGAGTTGTTTGGCATACTTAAGAAGAAATTGGTATGGATGTTCCACTTGCAAATCAAACTTTATTGTCTGTAGTAAGATTCTTTCAAGTACCATCACTTCTTCCTATAGAAAGTTACAAATTATTAGTCCTTCTTTTACTCAAAAATACTTTATGCTAGTTTAGGGCATGACTTCACAGCACCTCCAGGCAGCCACGTTTTGTCTCCAAGGGGAACAGAAAGCTCTCCAACTTACAATATTATTTTAAACTCAGATACCTTTTCTTCACCTTTATTTGAGTGACGACAAGGGGATGTGATGTTTAAGATCTCTGTTCCTCTGCAGAGGAATGAACTGAACTAGACACAACATGAAATTGCCAGATACACAATCACAACAAAAATATAAGCTCTACCACATTTCACTCAAAAGTTTCTAGTCATTATTCATTTAAAATAAACAAATTTTAAGAGAAGCATAGTTTTGCTAAATCAATACTGTAAACAAGAAACTTTTCAGTACTTCTGAGATCTAGTTCTCTTTCACTATTAATTACTTCGTAAAATCCCAGTCAGATGATTTATGATTTACGTATTGATAACATTTCTTGTTCTGGCTGAAATTACTCAAATTTATTTTAATTTGCAGAATAATATCAGAATTTACATGAAATAAAATACAAACTTTTAATGAAAACAATTATTCCAGTAAACTCCTAACTTTTATTAGGAAGAATTACTTTCAAAGCTACCAACCACACTACCCAGAAGAGCCATAAATGCATGCTGAGTATCTAATTTAATTTAGAACAACTGAAAACCAGTCAATGCTTTATTGAGCATGTGTCACTTGACTACAGTACAACAGGATGAAATCAATTGCAACATGAGTATTTTTACCTTTGGGTCATCTCCAAACTGCCCAAACTGTACATCATTCAGTAAGCTACGAGCTGTTTTAATTATGTCTTTACATTTCTTGGGTGTTTCTTCAACCTTTCCTGCTAGGAAGAGACAGCAGGCTCCTGTCACCTAAAAGAAGGCAAATACTTTCAAAAAGTGGTCTGCATCCAGATATACAATACAGTGTAGCATAATAAAAGCACTGTCAGTTTCCATTAACAGTACTGCAGAAGTCTCCCAGGAAAGACTTAATAAACATAATAATTTCTATTTTAATATAGTGTTAAACTTTTATTTTCTTAGAAGAAAAATACAGAACTTGGAGGACTGTCTATTTCATACAACTTCATTTCAAGGTCAGAAACCCAAAGCACAATTTGCCCTGGTTCAATGCTGTCTGTCAGGAAGTTTTAAAACTGTATTACACTTCTTTTTATCTTTCAGCTAATACAGAAGTGCCAGCACTACAGCTGCTACTCCTAAAGAAAAATATCAGCAAGTCATAACTGCAATGTCAATACATTTCTGATCATAAACAGAAATGTGTAAACAGGCAAGAACAACAAATTTTAAGCTGTAATAATTAAAAGACAAAATGCTAATTTTTCACCTCTCTGTAGTGAACAGCGGTAGTAGTACCCATGTGACTAATCACCATTTAAAATAGTTCCTACCTAGTGCAATCATTAATTTAAGTCATCAATATTCTAAATACTTACATATCTTGGGAACTGTTTGAAGGAATGAAACATATAAAACCGATGGAAATAAATTATTCCGGTTGCTAGAGTGTCATAATGTCTGTGGTGCAGATTAAGGATTTTCAAACAGCACATTAAAAAAAATTTAAAACCGAACACGCACAATGGATTCCGCTTTATCAAGTACTTCAAGTAACTGGCTGTTCAGTGACCAGTTAAAAAACACTGCAAGTAAAAAAGGAGCTTTAGAAAAAAAAATAAAAAAGCCACAAAAGCCCTTAAAGCTGTGTAAATACTATGATCAGGCCCAGATGCAGCTGATATCTAAAGCATTTATCAAGTATACAAAGTGCTGACTGTATTTCCAAGAGGATGCACATAAGGTGACTCCTGTGTTGCACCATAGCTGCCTCAGAGAAGGACAAATCCAGCAGTAGGTACATGAAGGAACAGAACAATTATCGCTTCACATTCAAGTGCTGGCATGGAGGAAAGTTACTATTCAAACCTACAAATGCAAATAAAATCTGAACATGCTCTGTATTCTTCACTTTAAGACAAATAGAAGTTTAGTCTTCACCATGCATTATTAAAGAAAGAACTAAGGAGTTTAAAGGAAGCATAGGAATATAGAAAGCAGAAAATTTAAGTGGCTGTCTATGAGGGAGTGGGACAATGGGGAGAACTTATACACAAAGTTGTAAATCCCAAACCATGAAACAAAAAAACAGCCACCAGAGACCAAGACTGGGGAGGCAGAGGTTAGAGCCTCAAAGGCCAGATTCTAACAATTTAGAAAAAGGAGGGAAAAATTCAAAATTTGAGAAGCCATGCAGATTCATATAGTGAAATACTGAGTTTCATAACTCACAGATGTTACTCTTAATTGGAAAGTTTGTATCATCTTACTTCTCTTCAACAAACTGGAACCCTGTTTATGCAATGAATGGATAGAAATGGTGTAGGAACACATTATATTGAAAGGCACTTCAACACACATATATTTTTAATTAGCAATTAAAAATCTGATCAGCTGAGCATGTCACATTTCTTGTGTATTTTATTCTGAAAACTCACTATTCATAGAGACATTTCATACCAACAATGTGTAAAGGATACAGCCCTAAACGTGTTCCCACGTCGAATATGAATCTGGCCCCTTCCCTGCGGTATCGTGCCTCTGTAGCTGGATCAAGCCCTTCAAGCTGTGATGGTGTGTGTGCCAAATCTTTCTTATCCCAGTACCAGCATGGCTTTGTATGGTCCAGGTTTGCCAAGTTCACAGAAGGGCTGGAATTTTCTTTATTCTCCTTCATTTATTAAAACAGAATTGTCTCTGCTTTTTAAATTTTCAAAAACGAAGTCTTCAGAGAGTCACTTCAGGACCTTGAAGAAAACAAAAAAGGAATTCTTTAAAAATAGAGAGAACTACCTTCTGAAGTTCCTGCTCAAAGAGGAGTAAAAAAAGAATAGTGCTTAGCCTTGCCTGTTGGAAAGAACTTGTTCCTATGCTCAAAGACAAGTAATAAAGAACTTTGCCTTTATCCTCTCCATATTTTGCAAATACAATCAGAAAAAGTAATAGGTTATCCTTGCTGTTACCTGTTTAATAAGGAAACTTCAAGAATAGATCTCCAACAATATTGCTATTTCTTAGTAGAACAACTACCATCTACTTTGTCCGTAAAACTAGGAAAAAACAATTCAGTGACGGCTGCAGAAAAATGTGGAAAGTTAGGGCGATTAGATGACTATTGGTAATTAGGAAAGGCACCGGTGAGGCAGCCTGAACACCGGTGAGGCAGGCCTCTTAAATACCTGCCTGCTCCCAGGGATATTGCGGGCAGCAACCACTTGGCAGAAGCTTTGTAAAGTGATCTGTACTTTTACTACTTAAAGAAAAAAAGTGTGTCAGTGTTCTTTCACATACCTAGATTAAGACAACGTGAGTTTATAGAGCAAGGCAGCATTTAAAATCATCCCCCAAACAAGGCAACCAAATACACCCCAAGAGTCTCCTACTTGCCCCTGTTTACCAGCACTTTGTGTACACAGATGCAGATCACAAAGTTCTGCAGGCACCTTTTTGGTGATTGAATTATGACAGACGTTCAGCCATGCCTCAGCTTAAAGAGTGCTTTTTTTTTCTTACAGGCACAAAACTGCTCTTACTCCAACTCAACTAACTACAGATACTATTCCCAGATTACTGCAGTCACCTGCAAAGGTTTGCATAACAGACAGACATTAATATATGATGCAATATATTCGCTCTAAGCAAGACAGTCACAGTAAGACCCAAACTTAAAACTCTTAAAATCAGTTATTACTTATCGAGACGTTTCCCTTCCGAAAACGGAAGGAAGATCACGTGAACAGCCACAGAACGATGCCTACAATCAGCACCTCGCTCACCTTCAAAAAGTCTCTTTTTCAGAATAAACGAAACTGTCTTTGCCTCACGGTGGTTTTGGAATCACCTTCACAACTCGTGGTATCGGTCACAGACAGATCTAAATTCTGGCACAAGAAAAAGTAAATGGCTACTAAAAACTATTTCCAGACTCAACGAAAGCGCGCCAGGCCACAAGCACACATTCTCATCATATTTACTAGAAAGCTGCTTTTATAACTGCAACGACCCTTCTTCCTTACCAGATATTTTACTTTCTAACTTCTAAAGCGTTTAAAAATCAGTTAACACTAAAAGCGCCTGAAGCGGTAAGATCTTTTTCTATAAAAGCCCAAACGCATTTCCGAATACGGAACCAGGAATGAAAATTATCACCCGCAAGCACCTTAAATGAACCATGTTAAACGTCCCAATCCAGAGACCGCAACGCCCGGAAATAATAACTTTTCCCTGCCTTTTTACGCACCCCATGAAACTGGAGAAGAACTCCAGAGCTCGATCGCGGCTTTTTCATACCTTACCCGAGACGAACGCACCGACCACAGCTCCGCCCCCGCTGCCCCAACGCGGCCGGGGATGCTCACACCGCCTCAGACCCACCCGCCCGCCCTACACGGGGCTGCCGGTGCCCGGGGAGGCGCTTGCTCCCTACCCCCGGCCTCCGCGCTCCCTTCCCCCGTTCCCCAGGCGGCGGCGGTGGCCGGCGGGCGGCCCGGGCGGGCCCCGCGCACTCACAGGGCGGCGGCAGCGGGAGCGCACCGGAGCGCGGGGCCCTCAGCGACAGCGCGGCCTGCGCGCCGCCATCTTGGGAGCCAGGCCAGGCCGCGCGTGCGCCATCACGTCGCAAGGGCGCAGCGCGCGAGCACGGCGGCCCCGCCAATGGGAAGCGGCGGCGCTCCCGCTACCTCCCGCCCAAATGCCCGCTCAGTCAGCCGCTGCTGGGCCGGGCTGCCGTACCCTGGGGGCGGACCAATCGGAACGGTAAAGGGGAAGATTGCGAGCGCAGGGACCAATAGAAATCTGAAGGCGGGCCAGCAGGGATTGAATGACAGCCAATGGGAGCGCTGCTCTGCCTGAGGGAGGGGCGGGGCCTCCTGGCGGGCGGCAGCTCGGCCAATGGCGGCAGGGCGCGCAGAGGGGGCGGGGGCGGGCGGAGCTCCGCCTCCCCACCGCGGGCAGCGGCGGCGGCGCGGGCTCGGGAGCGCCGCTCGCTCGGGCCAGGCGGGAGCGGTCGTGCCGGGAGGTAAGGCGGGGCCGCCGCGCCCCCTCCCCTGCTGCAGCACGGGCCCTTCCTCTCGACCCTCCGGGCGGCGCGGGCTCGCCCCGCTCCGCTGCCTCCTCCTTCCCCGGAGGAGGCGCCGCTCTTTCCGGACACCCCCTCCCGCCGGGCCTCGCCGCCCCTGCCTTGCCCCGCGTGGCCGGTGCGGGGCCAGTCCGGGCCTCCTTCCCCTGCGAGCCGCAGCCTCCGCCAGGCTCGGCCCGGCCTTTCCCTCTCCCGGCGCGTCCCCCGGGGCCGCCTGGGGCGGGCCGGGCTCGCTCCAGCCCGGCCTGCGCGGGTCTCCAGTGAGCGAGGCGGCGGCACCGGCGTTTTGCCTTGCCCCATCCCCCCTCCAGACCCTGATAGAAACGAGAGTAAAGCAAATGGCTTAAAACTGCTTTCCTCGTGATGTAATTAGATTTTTATTTTTTTTAATATGTGATACGGTTTGAATCCTCCCTGCTCCTACTTCATTTTCCCATGCCCCAGCTCCCGGGGTCTGGCTCAGGGGCGTCTCTGCGGGTGTGTGGCTCCTCTGAGCCCTCCTCTGGCTGGAGAAGAGTGCTCTGGTTTCTTTCCTTTCTCACCCCGTCTGCAGCCTGCTGAAGCAGAGTTAAATCTTTGGAAGAAAAAGAGAGAGAGGAGTTAAAATTAGAATAAATCGTAAATGTTTATTGACAGGGGTGTTACTCCTGAAACAGCCTCGGTATTTCAGCCTTCCCCTATTGCTACAGCAGCTGCCTGTCCCGTGAACCCTTCTTCTTTCTTACCCAGCAACACTTCATTAGAGTTGCTTGAGCTGAGGCTGTGCTTTGCCTTCAGTTCTTAGCAAATTCCTAAATTTTTTACCCTACATTCAGCTATCAGAATAACCTCAGTTTTGGAAGTTGTCCCTCATGGTTCAAAGCTGCTCTTGCCCCAAGCTTGGTATCTGCTCTTCTGGATGGGCTTGTCTTTGGAACCTAAACTGGCTCCTGAGATCAAGCTGAAAGTAGATTGTCTTTGTCCCTTCTAAGAGCATGTAATGAAGGCACCTGTACATTCAAGTGACCGCTTTGTTCTCTGAAAATTGCTACAATGTTAGCTTAATGTCTGGCAAGTGCTTTCTGCTTTCAGTTGTTGTAATCCCATAGGTGAGTAGAGAACAACTGTGGCATTCTGTATGTCCACTATCAGGTTCCTGGTACAAAATAGTAAGCCAGTGTACAAGTTGTGGGAAGGAAAGGCATGATGGACTCAAAGGCGGGGGTGGCTTCCTGATATTTTTGCTCAATTAAGTAACTTAATATGGTAGAGATTCAAGCATGCTGGCTTGTGCCTTAGTAGTTTTCAGTTATGTTTAGCAGGGATTGAAGTATACACTGCAGTAGAGTTGAAAACACATTTTTGATGTTGTGTGCTGAGAAATAGATTTAGGCTGTTGGGGGAAGAAATGCCACAAACTCCAAAATAGTTTGTAATCTGTATATCGCTATTTCCAGAGATGGCCTGATCTGTTGCTGAAGTCAGACATGCCTTGAAATAGAATTCTGATTTCAGTATGGTACAGAAATCAAAAATAGGCTGTTTTATGCCTCTCTGTATGGAAAAGTGTACATCTTGATGATGTTTTAATTATAATAAATTTATTTTGACATATCTACTGTATCTATGTAATTCTTGGTCATAGTGGTGCTGGTTATGTAGTTAATTTGATAAACTGTGTACTTCTCAGCAAGTGAGTATTTCAGTGGTTCCTCTTTCAAAAAAAAAAAACAACCAAAAAGAGGTACTTTAAGAGTACTGGAAGTCTTAAGGGATCTGTATCTTTTCTAGTGGGCTGTCATAGGGCTCAGTGCATGAGACCTCATGATGCCTGTGGCTTAAGCTTTTGGAGGCCTGGGTGGTTCTGTTAAGTCTGCCTTACTGATGGCTGAAGTCAGGGTGGCTTGCTTTACTCTCAGTTAGGAGTTATATTATATAAAGTGAGGTTAATATTTTCTAAATTAAGAACATTATTTAGGAACATGCGGGTAAAGACAGTACATAAGGGTTTTTAATTAATTCTGCTCTAAAGGAATTAGGAAAAGAAGTTTGTGGGAGTCTTCAGGAGGAGCAAAATTCAGGCAAAGAAATAAAATTACAAAAGTGGGTTGGTAAATTGGTAGAGTTTATCAGCTTATTTTCTTTAAAGAGTAAGTTTGTTTTTTTTTTTCTGGTCAAATAGCTGTCTGAGGATCTGATTCAAGAGACAGACAAAGGAGTTAAGAGCTTGTTTCCTGTGGATAGATAACTATCTTCCCTAGAAAGATCAGGCAGGTGTTGATAGTAAGAATTACTTCATCTGCTTAAGAAAGCTTTAATGGAAGGCCAAGGGGTATAGGGACAAACCTGTGGTAAATAATGTAATAGTTCCAAATTAGCAAGCTGATAAAAGTGAATTAAGAAATACATACTTTTTTGAGCTGTTCTGTTGGATATGGACTTTTTTTTTTTCCCTTCAGCATTTTGTGCTACCTTCAAATTAATAATTTCTTACCAGAAGTTTATATTTAATGCATGAGGCAGTCTTGTGCTTAGTATGTAGCTAGGTTCAACTGGGTGGGGAGGGAGATAATGTCAAAATGACAGGACTTCCTTTTTTAGTAGATTAGTGCTACCTCAAGCATTTGTAATCGGAATACTATCAAGGCATGTTTTCTTTGATTCTAAGAATAAACATCTTTTGGAATTTGATTCCCAATACTTAGCTAAATTTGTTGTACTTGGTGGTTTTTTAAGTGTATCAAGTAAATATTTAGCTAACTTTAGTGGCTTCTTTTGATATTATTCTGTAGATTGGCTTCTTCCCAGTATCACAGTCACCACTATCACCATTGTTCTTTCCTTAACCTTACACTGTAATGGGATTAGCAGTTTGTTCTTTGCAGAGTAGATGTGTGCAGTGCATACAGCAGTGGTTCAGTCTTTCCTCTTTTCCAAATGCTTTAGGCTTGTGCTTGTGGTTGACACACCTGTGGTGGTACAGCTTTCTATAGTAAAGGGAATCATTTGATTCTGACCATCCTTTGCCAAAGAACTTGTTGGAGACACTTCAGATTCCTAGATTTCGCTTTAGGTGACTAATAGTGTTTTTAACTTAGGCTGTTATGTAAAATATGAGAAAGAATGTCTCAAAACTAAAAGTACTGCAGGAGTACTTCATTGCTCCATAAAAATGGTCCATTAGTGTTGTCTGGTCTTAGTCGTGTGTATTTGGAGCTAGGCTTGTGTTTGTAGCAGTTAAGAGGTGACTTCATGCCCAAGTGTATTTTAATATTGCTTTGCATTTTTGGTCTTGCCCTTCCTCTGCTTTAACCTTCTTTGCTCCCTTTTTCTGTTTTTAGCTGCTCTGCCCTACATTGCCTCTTGATTGCTTCTCTTCTAACAAATGACTATTCCAGTTGCTCCATCTATCCTTGCCCTTCCTTTACCACTTCCCATCCTGTTCAGGTAGTCTGTTAATCCTTTTCCTTTCTTTGAAATAAGGAAGAATTAGAGCTGTATTCTTTCATTTCAGCTCTGGGTTCTGTGACCAGGCCAGAGCAGCAGACCTGTCACTGCAGGAGGCTTCCACCTGTGTGTCTAACCTGGGCTGCATCATGCAGAGATGTGAATGACTGTGCTTGAGATCAGTTTTATCTCCAGTACTGGTGTTCACAGGCTCTCAAGTTGGCCAGGTGTAGGTAATACATAAAGCAGAAATAAAGGAAAAGACATGTTGCTGAGAATGTAGCTGCTAATATCCTATTAGGAATCAAAATACAATATAACTTGTAACTTGAGAGGTATCATTTTACTTTTCAGAAGGATTTTCTGAGCCTGATGTTAAAGTCTGTTATGTACTGGGGATGACAGATTAGTTGGCTTATTTTATTCTTGGGTATATTCCAAATATCTCTGAAGGAATTGACTAACCTGTCCTGGAAGTGCCTACAGCAGTGTTTAAACATATGGTTTTCAACTAGTGTTTTAATGTAGGCCAAAATTGTTTTTGTAATTGAAGATAGACTGTAAAGTTTGTCAGTTCTATTCAGTTCCTTTTTTATTGTTTCTGTTAAGAGTGTGATAACCTGCACTGAAAGGAGGGGAGTCAATCTCTTGGGCTTCTTTGTTAGCTACCTGATTCTAGCCTTTTGCATGCAGATCAGATTGTAGATTGTCCTTTTTATATATTTGTATGTATTTTAGTATATGATATATAATGATGGCATCATCTCAATAAAACTAAGTCTCTTATATTACAAATGCTGGCTGTATTTCTTAGTTAATCTTGCTTTGTCTTTAATGCTTTTTAGCACTAGTACCCAAAGTTTTTGAGTAATGTTTCAGCAGAGTAGGAAGAGGACGTGTGTGGATTTCTACTTCCATGGGACCTGTGTTGCTGGTCCAGAACTTCCTGTATGCTGGGTCTTGCCTGGTGTGTCCATTCTCATGCCAAGCTAAGGGAAGATGAGTTACTTTGTGGGAAGGGGCTGGTTCCAACCAAGCATGAGGAGCAGGCTGCTTCCTGCCCTTGATAGGTCCTGTGGGGGTTGTCTTTGTGGCCGCTGTTGGAGGTGCTTGATTATCTTCATTTGATGACAGGTTA